TGAAGCAGAGTCAAGTGAGAGGTGACAATGAGTAAACAAATATGTAAATCTAATTTAATTACCATTTTAATGCCTTATTTATGCTTTCATGGGGGCTTTTTCATTTGTGTGTTAATTAAAGCATATTAGTGACACAGACTTGGTCACATACTGTTCCGTTTGAATAAGTTTTCAAATATTTTTAGCCATGCTGGAGGTTCTAAGGTCCACCACTTTGCATGGATGGTCATAATTATGTACAGAAATTACTAGTCCACAGAGAATAAAGTTAGCTGATTTCAGTGATCTCCTGGCTGTCCTATTGCAAACATGAGGTTGTATGAAATGCCTCAACAACTAAAGGATTGATTGCCATGAAATTTTTTGCAGTATTTTGTCGGTACAGTATTTTTTATAATTCTAGTGATATGACTATGTTACTTCGCAGAATTTTATATACACTTTTGTACAGTATTAGTTTTAAACTTAATTTTTCAATGTAAAATGAAAAAAGAAATGGGCACTGCAGCTTTCACTGCATCATAATTACTATATATGCACATAAGGACACCGTGTATTTAATATTACATTTTGCAGCTCTGTTATCAGTCATGGAAAACCAGCGTTTTCTTTCTTAATTGACCTTTTACTTTGTACACTCAGAATAACATGCTGCATATTCATCCACTGCACCTTGGTAACCTTTTGCAACTTGTGCCCCTGATGTTATGATAAATCATGACAGGGGTCAAAACAATGTCACGGCACATTTACAGACAATAAATCGCTCATCATGTCTGTACACATCTCTACTAGCTTGACAGTTCTTTGACACTTGGGACCATGACAGCTCTTTAACGGTAATACTACTTACTAATAAATAAACTTAGTAATAAACTTGCATGAATTTAGGAAAGGTATATATCAGTGTACAGCTGCCTTTTGATTTAGAGTTAGTCTTCATTCTGGCAATTCTCTAAACATGTTGTTTATGTTTAGGGAATAAATCAAATTACCAATTTAGTGAGTGTTTTAATCTGCACCCTTCTTTCATGGTACAGTTTTTAAAGATGTTGCTACATTTCAGCATAAACTGGCTTGGCAAGAACGTTTTGGCCCTCGTTGACTTCTACATTCCTGCCTGGCTGTGAGAAGAGTGAGGGAGGCAGGGAAGGAGGCCAGTATTTGTTTTACTTTGCCTCTGTGTTTCCACCCTCCCCCTTTTTTAGAAATGCACCCTGGGTTCTTTTTGTGAATCACCCGGCAACAGACACATCACTTTGTCTCCATCTTTTCACTGCGAGCGGAAACGTCGCAACGAGGCTCTTCTGGAGAGGCCTAGCAGCGTCCTACCTGACTGACTTACCAATGAAGAGCCAGACACATTCTATGGGCCTGCAGTGTTACACATAACTGGTCCTGACAACAATCCCTCCCTCTACCCACCACCCAAAAAGAACAGAGGCTTTTAGGATTAAGAGACCTAGAAAAGCTACAGTACAGGGCTCTGTCTGTCTGTCTGTTTGTTTGTCAGTGTGTCTTTCTGTTTGCCTTTCAGTCTTTATCTCTCTTTTGTATGCCCAAACACACACACATTGATTTTCATAAGCTCAAGCCAACATACAACGATCTTAAAAAAACGTTAGTTCAAACTAGGTATTTGAGATGCTAATGTACACTTTCCATTGATTGGCAAGCATTAAAGTGGACTTGAAAAGTGACTGCAGGCGATTCATGCACTTCACACAGGTTCAGAGCTAACATGGTGATCCAGTCTGATAATACTGTAAGACTGTAATGTTATGCAATTATGTTGATGAATAGACAGAGGCATTTTGACCCTGTTTGGTGTGTTTGGCTGGCAAAATGTCAGTTTTAAAGTAGTTAAATAACAGCCATGAAACATTGGTCCCCAGCAGAGCTTAAAACTTGCACAGACTTTCACTGTTTTCCAATGGTGCAAAAAAAAATGCATATTGAGCAAACAATTATGAAAACAATAATCTGACTGCGTTTTCGATTTTTTTATTGTAATGAATTGTAATATTATAGTACTAGATTGGTGTACTGATATTTATATGCAGATATGTGTCTGTAGATTTTTAGTGTCTGGTGATTGCTTTGTTTGCACCTGCCCAGAGACTACGGATGGAAATTTACTTATAGTCTAATAATAATAATCATAAACCATCTCTTGTCATTTTGAGATGAATGCTTTTGTGCACGGTCCTTGTTTACAACAACAACAACAACAATCATAATAATAATAATAGTATTATTAATAATAATCACCAGTTTCCCAAGAATAGTATGGATTAGTTTTTTCAGTCATACGCTATTACTTATTCATTTGCTGTGAAAGTAATTTCATATTAGAATACACTATTACTGGTGGTATTTTCAGTAATATTTTATTTGGTTCCTGTGAGTTTGCATAACAGCACAGGTCTTTTTCATCTCTGCCAAGAGGTCACGTTTCTTAGTTTAGAGGTTTGTTTGTTTGTCTGTCAGCAAGATTTCAGAAAAAACTACTGGTCTCATTTTCATGAAATTTGGTGCAAGAGTGTAGTACGGGTGTGATGTTTTGGGATTTACAACCTGTGTGAACTTGTATTTAAACTGAAGTGCTGATTTGCATATTATAGATTGGATTATTTGTTTTGGTGAAGGTCTGCAGTGTCTTTCTTTCTTTGTTTTCATTTTTTGCTATGACAGCAGCATGGCTATAGGGATTGCAATTTGAGTCTGTCAGTCAACTACTCTGGTCCAGACTGAAATATCTCAACAGCTTTTGGGTGGATTGCCATCTAATTTAGTATAGACATTCATGGTCCCCAGTGGATGAATCCTAATGTCTTTGGTTATCCCCTGACTCGCCCTCTACTGCCACCATGGGGTTAACATTTGCAGTTTTGGTGGATTAGGTGAATTGCCATAAAATTTGTTACAGATAAACTTAAGATTTAAGACTCAAGACTCCTTAATTTTTCATAAAGCACCATATACCTGCAAAACTAATGACATCATCATCTGTACTTTATATTTATTGCTAATTAGTAAATGGTGGCATGCTAACAAAGTAAACAAGATAGCGAACATGGTAAACATTACACCTGCTAAACATCAGGTTAGCATGCTGATGCTAGCATTTAGCTTGAAGCACTGCTGTGCCTAAAAACAGCCTCTCAGAGCTGTTGGTATGGCTTTAGACCCTCCTCATAGCTATGTATGTTAATCCACATGCAGTTGTTCCAGTTTATCAATATACAAAATGTATTTATACATAGATTAAAATCCTGCTTGAGTTGCAGTTTGAATAGGTATACGTGGGGTGCTAATATTCATATTCGTACTATTTATGTTGTGCATAAAGACACTCACTATGTATGCAAAGCCTCATAGAAATACTGAAAGTGAGAGGCAATATATTTCAAAAACCCTCTGTAAATAAGCCTGCATTATAAAATGCATCTGTCATCATTATCACTGTCATGATCATCAGTATAACCATTTTGTCTTTCTCACACGAACAATAATCTGCTCTACAGTTTCAGAGCATCCCTTTTGTCCCTTATGTCTGAGCAGTGAAACTGACAGGGGGCCAGCTGTCTGCCTGTGTGTTTGCCTGTACTCTTCTCTCTATTACTACCACCTCCTTCTGTAATTACAAGCTTCACTGCACACAGACTCACCATCAGGTGGGGCCAGGGCCACAAGCACAGCACCACCAGCTCTCATCACAATGGCATTTTGAATTCCCCTCGTGTGAGAACTGGAGGCCAACGGGAGGCTTTTTGCACATCTGAGGTGCCACAGCCTGCAGGCCAATCAGCCAGTTGGGATTAGAAATGCTAAATTTTGTTTTGTATCATTAGAAGGTTAGCTCACCCCTCATTGGTTCACCATCTGGGCATTCTTTCCTTCTCTCCTTGTAGCGAGGCTTTTCAGTATCAGCAGTGCACAGCCTACAGTATGGTGGACAGAGACAAAAAGAACCAAAGATGGAAGGGAAAGATTTGGGCAACTGAGCACAAAGGGGGGTAGTAAAGGAAGCGTGACATGAGAGAAATAGGGATGGAAAAGGAGAAGAAATGATTATTTGTTTGTGGGTGGGTATTTGTTTGACATTTTTGACACACTCCAGCATTTCATGTATCCATAACAGTGACATAAGCCATGACATTGCATATGATGCCACTTGACATTAAAATGAAGCTGCTTTGGCATCAGCATTTTATCATAACTCATGATAAGGTGTCACCTGACAGCTTTACGACAAACGAAATACCGGACAAATTAAATATCACCATCACAGTTTCCATCAGTCAGGCACCTGTCATTCCCAAAATCAGATGTAGTTTTTTCGTACTAACATTGGTTTAATCCTTACTCATTTTCACAACTCAAACTTTAACTGTTAAACCCTGCGAGAGTCTAATCTCCCAGTGAGACCCTAATAATTTATCTCGATGTGGGAGTTAAAGTCTGCTTTAAGACTGCTCATTTGGGATGTTCCACAAGGGTATTTCATTTTGGAAGACAGCGGGCTAAGAAGATTATAGGCACAGTTTTCAATTTATCTCACACACCCTGACTCCCTTTATTGGCTGGGACCCTCTTATCATGTTCTGCCAGGAGCTAGAGCAACCGCTGGCATCTTCCCCTGTATCTGTTACTTTGGAGTGGCTGCATTTGATGCAGCATTACTTATTTTTACCCATAGCATGGACTTTTTAACACAGACTGTTTCACATCATTTAACCCAAATTTGGTTGGATGGAAGTTTAGAAAATGAAAATAGTGTCACTGTTATGCATGGCAACTTGGTGGAAGCTAGTTATCTTTAGACACTCATAGCAAAGGCAAATAGATGATGTTGTCAAAATGTTAAGTAACCCATAGATGTCTATATTATGCATCAACTGGCCCTTGAATGAGTCAGAAAGGGAGAGAGAGGGAGAGAGACAGAGTAAGAGAGAGAGAGAACTTGATGATGTAAAAAAAAAAGCTGCAGGAGTAAGGATATAAAACCCTGAGACAAGAGGATGCTACTCTCTCAAACCCGCTGCCATCTCAGTGGTGGAAATGTTGGAGTTGGGGAGGGTCGACTTTGAGGTGACATTGACGCTATGTAGATGAGAGTGAGGATCCTGCGCTCCATGTTACGTCCCTGCTCGCTTCAACTCAGACGGCGGCAGCTCATTTCCCCGTCTTCTCTCCCCTCCTCTCTTTCAGCACCACTCCTTTCAGGACAGCACCTCACTCTCAAAGACGCATTTGTCCACCATCCTCACCCCTCAGGATCGTATATTTGCTCGCTTTCGTCGGATGCAAAGTTTTCACCTTGGTTTGATTCTAAAAGTGCAAGGAAGTAACTTTTCTTAAAATCCGGATTTTTCCATCGGGGAAATAATAAAAGGATTGTATTGTAAGTATTTTGCTATACCGTCTATATTTTACGTATATCAGGGATAGATTTGTGTCTGTGTGTTATTGTATTACACTAAGAACTACTGAGGAATTTGGCATATGCAGATGCGCTGAATTTGGCATTGTGCGAAGATGTGCGACTGCACTTCACTTCACGCAAGAGACTTGGTGGGGTAACATGAGGGTCATTAACGTATTTGATCCTTCAGTCCTGCAGTCACATGTTTTGAATGTGTCATATGTTAATGTTAATCTGTTTGGAAAAAAAGTACACATAATTCTTTGTTCACTACATCCTAATTTGTCTTGAGGATGGGTGTCTCTTTGAAGTATGAACATGGAATATTATCGACAGATTGGAGATAAAATGATAATATAAAATATCAAAAGATGTGGTACTATGTTGCCTCGTTTTGCGCTTCACATTTACGCACACGGGGTGATGAAGAGCGCGGAGAGAACGCTCCACGTTTCATTCGTTCAACTATCACGAGCAGATGTTCATTTTGTAATTTAAAAAGTAAAAATAAACAAAAAAATGAAATAATGTACATTTTTTAATGCAGAACTTTACTAAATCGTGTTTTCTAAACGATGCAGCTAATTGTTTGCATTAATACTAATTAATTAGAAAATAAAATAAATATTGAATATTTTAACTCTGCCCTGCAGATATTTGATAAAAATGTGTATTCATAAACTCCAGTGAGTTATTAGTCTCTTCAGGTGATTCATTAGACATGATCGTCGCATCTGACTCCTAAATGTGTTTAATTGCTCTTCTCTTGTACCGGAGCAGTAGGAAGTGGGCCATTGAATTTAGGGCGCAATGAATCAAGGACAAAAGCAGGCTCTAAATTTCTGCTAACATGCATTCACTCCAGGCAGTTAAAAGTGATTCTTATTGCATGAGAAGTCTTTATTTGATCCCGTAGGGTTCACGGATCTAGGGGCACATTTTTCTCTCTCCACCCCTGAAGAAATGTCATGCAATTAGAATTGATGCATGCATAATACTCGTGTAAAATCACATTTTACCAGTAATATAAAACTTCGTTTTCAGCACAGGCCAGTGTAATGCCCACCTAAAGAAGCGGTTTGGCCAAATATTTATTCTTAAAAATGTGTTTTCGTCCAGAAAACAAGTATTCAGTTAATGAGGGGAATAATTCCACCTTCACTGAACTGAAGTTCAGAATTACAGATTTTTTTCTGAAATCTAATTCTAATTTAGGCAGCAAAATTAAATTAATCCCTCATATTAACAGTTAACATTCATTTTAAAAATATTTCTGTTTGCTTGAGGAACAAGTAACATTTTATCATTTACTTGACATATTAGATTTGTTTCTAATTCTATACTTGTCTGTTTATGCTTTCAGGGTCTCTGGACCTCTACTAAGCTAGCCCTGCTTCTGCTCTTGATCCCTCTCATCACCCCGATTATTCGTCTCCACTCGGCTGTTATCTGGGAGCTGGGTTTACAGGACGGAGAAGCTGCCGTCTGCCCGGACCGGTGCTGAAACCTCCTCTCCACTGGTCAGGACTATCCGACACGCACAGTGACCATGGCCACCAACGGGACCAAAGCCTCTGACGGACACGTCTTAACTGAGACGGTGAACGACGCGCCCACCACCACGCCAAACGACAAACCCAAAACGTTGGTGGTGAAAGTGCAGAAGACGAAAAATGAGCTACCCGAGAGAGAAACGTGGGGTGGAAAATTTGACTTTCTTCTGTCTTGTGTCGGATACGCAATTGGACTCGGAAATGTGTGGAGATTTCCTTATTTATGTGGCAAAAACGGAGGAGGTAAACAGGAGTTCTTGGCAATTTTCCATTAATCAGTACACCAAAAGGAGTGCAAAGATCTCGACATCAAAACCTGCCTGTTTGCTACCCGGAGGTTTTCAATTAAAATAAATCTAAAGTGTATTGACACCCTCTAAGCCGTGCGTAAATGCGCACAAGCGAAAGCCTGCACGGTGATCTGGGGCGCAGTTTGAAAACAAATACTCCTTTTACCAAATATCTTATGTGGATTATAATGAATGTTAATAGTTTATAATTCACCTTCACTTACACACCTTTACCTCTCACCTCTCATTCAGGGGCCTTCTTGATTCCCTACTTTTTGACCCTCATATTTGCTGGCATGCCCCTGTTCTTTCTGGAGACGGCTCTTGGTCAGTACACTTCTATTGGAGGGCTTGGAGTGTGGAAGCTGGCCCCCATGTTCAAAGGTAAAATACACTTCACTGTATCTTTAAGGCCTAAATTATGCTTTTGTTTTTTTAACCGGCTTCGTGAAGGCCAGGTAGAATAGTCGAAGTCGAAAATTGGGGATCTTTGTAACTGCATAAAAGAGGGCAAAGATGTATTCTTCGTAAACTACCAAAGCTTCCATAAGATTGTTATGTATATCATTATTCTCATTTTATTTCAACAGAAATATTTCAGCACAATTTAACGTTACACCTCTACTCTCCCATTGTTTCAGGTGTGGGTCTGGCTGCTGCTGTTCTGTCCTTCTGGCTAAATATCTATTACATTGTAATCATTTCCTGGGCTATTTACTATCTGTACAACTCCTTCACTGCTGTGAGTATTTGACATTTGTATTCATGCTGTTTCCTTATAAAACAATGTAATAGGACTTGAATACCTTTTGAAGAATTAGGGTACAAAAAGTAGTCAAGTTTCTTTGATTCCTCACTAAAAATGTTTGTGTCCCTTTAAATCAGAACAAAGGACATATTTTATTTCTTTCTCTCTTTTTTTTTTTTTTTTTTTTGCCCAGGTTGAATTTTTTACATAGTAACCCTTTTAGTTATGTGGTAGGTTCTGTTTGCCAGCACCTCTTATATAAGGGTGCACAGACCTTAACAGGGTATGACATTTATTACTTCCTTTCCCACATAATTAGTGCCTTACACAAGGTATTGATAAATGCATTTGGCGATGAGGCATTCACTCACTGAGAAAAGCATGAAATCTCAATGAGTATCATGGTCTTGGCTGCTCGACAGCCAGAGAGAATGGGACTCGGCGGTGGGAGAGTGGTCCAAGTAAAAAGAGCTGTCTCTGTGATTTTTCTCTTTTTTTCCCCTTTAATTTTCAGGATCTGCCATGGCAGAGTTGTGGCAATCCCTGGAACACAGACCGCTGCTACACCAACTACAGCATCCCAGACACCAGAAACCTCACCAGTGCAGTGGTGGAGTTTTGGGAGTAAGCTCCACACACAAGTCTGTTAAGATCACAGGGATACTGCTTTGTTGTGAACAGATTAAATCCACACAGAAAGAACATGGTCAATACTGCGCGAATCAGGGTTGGAGTCTGCTGTGGTCATTTAGATCTGAGGATCCAATAGTTAACCAAATCCTTTAATCTATCACCAGATACTTCTAGAAGGACAAAAATTGTGCACATACAATAAAGGGCCTCAAAAAAGCCTACAGGGAAAAAACTGGGTGTAAAAAAAATTGCGTGTAGACATGCGTGCATGACTTTCTTTGACTGTGGCGTCTTAAAAAAGCTTTAGGGGTGAGAAAAGAAAGCGAGGAAATGGGGTCTTTGTGAATATCCAGACACGTGTGTGCATTTTTGTGTGTGCACCCATGCATACTGCATGTATGAGATCAAGGATGCATTTGTGCGTTGTAGTAAGACCACTTTACTCCTTCCCTGCAGACGTAACATGCACCAGCTGACCGATGGTCTGGAGAAGCCTGGGGAGGTCAGGGTCCCACTGGCTATTACACTAGCCATTGCATGGGTGCTCGTCTATTTCTGTATCTGGAAGGGGGTCAGCTGGACTGGCAAAGTAAGTATAAGAAGAGGACAAAGACAAAACAAAATGGAAAAGCAAAATCCATCGTGAACTGAATTTGCATCATCTTAATGGTAAAGGTCATAGAATTGGCACAAAGACATGTTGGACTATAGTTCAAATGAAGGGATTACATAACTTCACATAACCCTTTATGAATGGTAGATTCATCATTGTAGAATAATTATTGATTTATATACATAACAGTGTCAATGTCAGTATCTCTGCTGGTTCATTTCTTATTCAGTAGATTTTATCATGTATGATCTGAATTGTGTTGACTTTTGTGCAGTGCAAAATTAGTTCAGATAAGGAGGGAAATACTGCACTGGGAGTGTGCTGAACCAAACCAATCTAGGGTCATCTTGCCTCTGGGGTAATGGCTGACTAGGTCACTGTGCTGCACTGTGCTGTGGGGATGGTGCCACAGTCCTGTTACACTGTTCATGATGAGTTGAACAACTTCTCACTTCTTCTGCAGTTTTGTTGCCTTCCAGGATAAATATTCCAAGTAAAATAATGCTCACTAATCACTGATAAGTTAGTTAGTTTTGGCTTAATTCTTTTTTTTTAATAACAATTTTGTGTCCCACAGGTGGTGTACTTCTCAGCCACATACCCTTACTTCATGTTGTTCATCCTGTTTTGCCGTGGCGTCACTCTACCTGGTGCAATCGATGGAATCCTCTTCTATATCACACCAGACTTTGAAAAACTTAAGCAGTCTGAGGTATGTTGTCTGCACCCTCTGCTCTCTCACTCTGCAGATCTAGAGGACTAAAAGCTGTTCCTATTCAGGAATACGTATAGCACTTTATTGACCACTAAAATAAAGGTGGCTGCAGAGGATAAACTGAGCCCCAGTCGGAATGTGTTGTACAGACGGTTTACAGGTTACGGTAATGCCATTGTACTTTCTGTACTTGAATCTAGGCAAAGAGTACTGTAGTTAGTCATTAAGAGGTGTACATAGCTCAATCTTGTCCAAATATATCCTCAGTGAGTGCACAGTATTAAAACTAACACCCACAGATAATGTCTGACAATCACTCTTAACTGCATCAACAGCAAAATAGTAGACAGGATGTCTATTAGTGCCCAGACACAAAAAAAACACATTGCTATTAGTGTATTCTCCTTTGAGCAGCAAAGCAACAAGCTTATGAAAAGCTGAACTCTTATGATGGCTATGTACATTTGTATTTATTATATTGATTCAGGGTAATAATAAAGAACACTGTAGTGTCTCACGCTGTTGAAAAGGCTGAAGTGCCAGTGATATTCAGGCTAATACATCTTTGTCCAGAAAAATAAAACTCATATGATTGTATTAATTTTTGCTGATATCACATTTTATTCCGTAGTAATTGTGAATAAATGACTTATCATTTAAGCTGAAAAAGAACATCCAATTAAGCTAGATGAGGTGTGGATAGACATCATGAGACAAGGCAAGATCTTAGTGAGTTAAGTTGATCCAGATGGGATGCAATGGGATCAGAGTGCATCAGATTGAATAAAGTGTAACAAGACAGCACTTAGGTGTAAGAATTTCCCGGAACAAGTGGTGTTCCCAGTTCTTGCCTAAGGTTTAGAGACATGGTTTATTTGTGTACATAGCTTGATCAGTTAAATAGAATCAAAATGACAAAAGAGGTCATATGAATAGGAAAATAAAATGTCTTTTTTTAAATTTCTATTAATCATTAACTTATGTCTATACCTGCTTATTTTACATCTTATTTATAATCTTTGTGTGTCAGGTGTGGCTGGATGCTGCCACTCAGATCTTCTTTTCCTACGGGCTGGGATTAGGTTCTCTGATTGCTCTTGGCAGCTACAATCCCTTCAAAAACAACGTATACAGGTAGATGATTATAATGTGTTACATTTCAGTTTGATTGTCCACATGAAATAAATAATTGTTTTGATGAAATTGTCATGTCTAGCACTGGTCACTCACATCTTGTTTGTTTTTTTTTAAAAGGAGACTGCAAATGTTTCTTCCTGGGATTATTTTTGGTTTCCTGGCAACATAGTGTCTGCTGTACCTTCTATTTTGGGAGTATTTGAGCCCCCAGCTGCATCAGTTGTTTCATTATTTTGGCTCTACCCTCTCTTTTACACTCATAGGCACAGACGTTTGGTTTGCCTCTGACGCATTGTCAGATAAACACTTTTCTGCAGCCCACCTACATACATCTATGGTTCAAACTATTTAAACTGCTGGAGCTCACTGCCATTTTAAAATAACAGGTCAATATAAATGTATTCAGCTGCTGAGTTACTGCAGGATGCAAAATGGCTCTCCACCATCCCTTCCCCCCATGCCTCTCGACAATGTGTGACGGGTTGATAAGGAATTGATATAGGCGTGACAATGGCTGCCTTGTGCTTTGTCTCTCCCATACAGAGATTCTGTCATTGTCTGCTGCATCAACTCCTTCACAAGCATGTTCGCTGGCTTTGTCATCTTCTCCATCGTGGGATTCATGGCCAATGTAACAAAGAGACCCATCGCTGATGTGGCAGCCTCAGGTAATTGCAATCAATGTTGAAACTCAATAGTGACAATAGGCACAAGCAAGAGATACTTACGACTGTGCAAAAATTTTGCCCTTGAAATTGCTTGATGTTATTCTGTCATTTGGAAAGGGAAGGTTTTAGCTTGTCACTATATGTCAGTTTTGATATCTGGGTCTATTAGAAAAAAAATGCTCAGTCATTTTGCAAAACTCTCTGTTCTATGTAAATACTCAAGCTTGACATTGAGCACTCACACTTTTTTCTTCTAAGGGAAATGTTAGGTTTCATCTAGCATTACAGTTACATTCATAGTTTCTGAGTATGTATGTTAAAAATGGTAGGTAAAAGGTCCAGTGTGTAACTTTAAAGAGGATCTATTGGCAGACAATGAATATAATATTCAAAGGTATGTGTTCATTAGAGTATAATCAACTGAAAATAAGAATTATTGTGTTATTGTTACCTTAAAATGACACTACATACAGAGGCTATAGGTGGCTTTCCATGTATTCTGCCATGTTGAACTGTCATGTTTATACAGTAGCCCAGAACAGATAAACCAGACGCTGGCAGTAGATAGGGCCTTTATGTTTTTTGCAAGTTTTGTGACCACCACAGTTTCTCCTACACATGTCACAGCTCATTCTCATTCCCAGGTCATCAAATACATTCAGTTAGTTGCAATTGCAACTTCACTAGAAGTAACTAAATCCTACACATTGGACCTTTAAATGAATGTTTTTTTGTGTCTATAATATTTGTCTTTTGTCAGGACCTGGCCTAGCATTTTTGGCTTATCCTGAGGCTGTCACCCAGCTGCCCATCTCTCCTCTCTGGGCCATTCTCTTTTTCTCCATGCTGCTGATGCTGGGAATTGACAGCCAGGTAAAAATAACTGTGGTTAACGGTAAATAATGGTATCAGTTGTGTTTTTGGACCATATTTATCTAACAAAGTGCTGATGTTCCAGCCTTTGACAAATAAAAGGAAAAATTAAATAAATTAATAGAAATGTTCATGTTTAGGGTCAGGATTCTGTTGTAATGTGTCTTACTCTTACTATTTCATTCATAAAAGCTAATTCTAAACCGTAGATATTTACCTAATAGTTTTACTGTGGCAACATTGTATTCTGTAACACAGTTTTGATATAACTCTGCAATCCCTCCAGTTCTGCACTGTGGAAGGCTTCATCACTGCACTGGTTGATGAATTCCCTCATATTCTCCGAAAACGCAGAGAGATCTTTATCGCAATCGTCTGCCTTGTTTCTTACATCATTGGACTGTCCAACATCACACAGGTAAATACGTCTTTCTTATTGGATAATCCACCAGCTTTTAGAGATATTATTGGGTAGTTAGTTCAAAAACACTAATATACAGCATCAGCATGAATAACAAAGTGATATTTGTTGCTGTTTCAGAATAATAAAGACAGCTATACAATTAAAGTAGTACAATTAAATAGAGAATAAGATGTATGCTCAACAGGATGATTTTTTCCTGGCCAACTATCATGTTTTTTCCCCCAAATGATGTACAGAACTTACGCATTATCTCCAATGGCTTGAAAAATAGTGCATATAGCTGCTGTAAATGGGGAAAAAAACGCTCCAAATGTTTACAACGTCTGGCTCCCCTCTTCTGGATGAAAGGATAATGATATGCTCAGTTGGTTTGTCTGTTCATTTGTCTCTGTCCAACACTTGGGTCCCGGGTATGATATCTAACAGCTATAGGCCAGATTGCTGTGAAATCTAGTATTTTTATGGTGTGCTTACAGTGTTTTTACTGTTCTTTATGTGTATGATTAGTCATCTGAGCTTTTGTCTACACTTTGGTCCATGGCATGGTATTTGAATGGCATGAAAGTTGTAGTATATATTCATGGTCCACAGAGGATCAATCTTAATGCTTTTGGTAACCTCCTGACTTTTCTGCTAGCACCACCATCAGGCCATTTAATTTAAACAAATGAATCCTAGTCTGAAGGGTAGATTACTATAAAATTGTATTACTGAATACATATTTTATGCACTTCCTCTAAGGTTGAAATACCGCTTCTGCACGCAGAGTGTCTTATTAAACTGGCAGACTGCCATGAAATTTGCTGAGCACATTCATGCTCTCAAAGGAATAAAATATCTACTCTAATATTACCATGAAGATGCTATTTTACTACTGAATTTGTTTAGTTTAATTTGTCTTAAAATAGAAATAATATTTGTTTCATTATTTTGGTCTACTGTTATCCCTCAACATGCACATTTTTAACATGGTTGGCATACATTCTTTATTTTCTGTGTCAGACGTTAGTGTAGCACATCAAAAGAGATCTTGAAAGTATTTTTTAGCATTCATTTGATCATTTTTGTACAAAATTACTGCTGGCTACTGCTACACAAGGTACAGTGATAGTTTTGTTTGTGATTTGAATCAAAAGGAAACTATAAAAAACAATAAGGGAAGGAGCTAAAAGTCAGCAAAAAGTTGGCAAGATTCATCTGTGTCTGCCAACTTGTGAGCCAAAAATGACAGAATCACTGCAGGCCAAGGTCATGTTTGCTAATGACACTCGAAGACCCTGCATTGTCCCTCTACTTCTGCCAAACTGGATTTCCATCATGCCACACGCACAGCCCAGTTACTCTTATCGCTGCTCCAGGCAGTATAAAATATATCAAGCTTCACAGGGTAGGGGTTGATGAACTGTAGCAGGTCCCTCTGAGCTAGTCTCCATAAAGACCTGATAGCTGCAAGGGATTGTGGGCAGACATGAGATGTTTCAAGGAGATTATTGGTCTGATCTCGTCACATCCACAGTAACGCAGTTTCCAAAAGGAAGTCTTAGCACCAGTTCTGTCCTCACCAATGAGCGGTCACTAACTCTCACCAGCCACAGCCGCTGGTGCTCTCGCCCTTGATGTTATTCCACTTGACCGATTTAGTACTGTGCTGCACATCCAATACTATAATTGCTTCTTCAATTTTTTCCCCCTTAGTCTTCATCTGGTTTATTGTCTTCTTTTCTTTTGTTTTCTGCTTCTCTCCTGTTGCAGGGTGGACTGTACGTGTTTAAGCTATTCGACTACTACTCAGCTAGTGGAATGTGCCTGCTTTTCCTGGTCTTCTTTGAGTGTATCTCAATTTCATGGTTTTATGGTGAGCCACACTATACATGTCTTAGTCTCCTCAAGCTGTTTTCCCATCTAAAAACGATGCTACAAAATTCTGTCTCTTGTTGCTGACTTATTGGAAGCTAAATCTCAAGATCTAAGATCCAGACAAGAAATATTTTTGAGATTATGAATTATGGACTGCATCTATAATCACATAACATGGCAATTAAAACTAACTACTTTATCTTTTCGGTTCCAGGTGTGAACAAATTCTATGACAACATTGAGGAAATGATTGGCTACAGGCCCTGTATGTGGTGGAAGGCCTGCTGGGTCGTTTTCACTCCGCTCATCGTGGCTGTAAGTGTTATCTGCTGGTAACATTCATAATTTAACAAACAATGTCCGAGACAACCAACAGGGAAAATAACGTCATCATCAGGGGCAATATTTAGGCATATGAGGTCTCGGGTGAAGCTACATATAGACAATTATTAATAATAATCTTTATATGAATAACTGTTATGATTTTTCTCATCACTTAGCTTGTTGGTTGTGTGCATGCAAACCCAAAGCAGCCTGATTATGTTTACTTTATGTAATTATTGGCCTTATTATCAGTGAGTGCTCCATGTACAGATGACCAAAATGTGATTCTGTTGTTTTTCTTTATGTATAAGGTTCGAATTTAGAATATATTAGTTAAATGTCAAAACAAGTAGTGACAAACAAGAGCTTTTTTTTTTTTTTTTTTAAAGTCTTCTTGGGGTAAAAGTTGTGCAGTTCTGTAATTATTAAGTGTGTATCTGCATGATGATAAAGGTGCTAAGATCTATTTTCTTGTCCTTCCTTTCCAGGGAGTCTTCTTGTTTAGTGCAGTGCAGATGGTTCCCCTCACCATGGGTGAATATGTGTTCCCAGCCTGGGGCCAGGGGGTTGGCTGGTGCATGGCCCTCTCCTCAATGACCCTCATCCCTGGCTACATGGGCTACATGTTCCTCACACTCAAAGGCACATACAAAGAGGTAAGATCAGTGTGGATTCAGTCTAATAGTCGATGTGGTTTACTTAAATAACACTTACTGACCTTTTTGCTGTATTTGCTCAGAAGCAATGAATACTTGCTATATACACATATAAATATTGGCATATAAATACCAATAGTTTTGTTAAGTGTAATGCAAATACAATATGAACCACAGATTTCCCAGAACATAGGCATCACTTTACCCACCCATTTCACTCATCTATTAGGTGGTTTGAATTTGAATCTGCACTTGGCAGCGAGGCAGGTTCTATGTTAAGAGTTTCAAGAAGATTACTTGGTATGCAATATTTTTGGCTGAAATATATTATTACATTCTGCATGACAGACAAATCCAACACAGAGAACACAGTGGTGTTTTTTCAGACGGTGTTGATGTTCTGTGAGGATAATGTAAATGCGACATAGAAGCCCTGAGGACTTTACAGAGGAGATCAGTTTTAACCATGGGGGGAAGCTGGAATGAACATTTAAGGTCATACTGTTAATTTTCACAGACAGTCAGGCTCAAATATGTTTATGAGTATTCTGATCCAGGATTTATGTCATCTTCACTTACATTTACAACATTTACATAATGGCTGGAAATGAAAGTAGTACCTGGAAATCTAATTTCGCAGCAAGAAGGCTCTTCACATTGGATGTTAAAATTCTAAGCTTAGCCCAATGTGATTTTGCTCTGTGCATTATAACTGCGATTCAACGCTTTTTTAATGAGCAAACACATAGGCATGCTGGGTAAAGACATGATAAATTGCCATGAAGAGTAGAACAGAGAAAAAAGGATTAGTAAAATAGAGTTTCTAATTAGTTCTGTTACACAATTTTAGATGCGTTTTTGCTGCAGCAGCCACTGAGTTCTCAGTAAACACTGCATTTTATTGATCTGATGATCCTAATCAATGGCTTTTTGATTTGCAGTCATTCACAATGCCCCAAATAATAACCTTACATCCATACAGTCCCTAGTGACAGATATAGCTTTATAGCCACCACTGACAGAATAAATGGGCCATAATTGCAGGCAGTGCAACAGAGGCTGTCAGAGGCGATGTGCAGGTGTCAGATCCTGCAGTACCAGCTGATGGCTGATTGTCTAATTGTAGCAATCAGCCAGCTGATTAGTGCTCTGCACCCAGGCGGACGCTTAGTTTCACAAACACTCCATATAAATGCCTACAGTGCCTGGGTCCAACACTACTCATAGTTCAGAACATTTAGAAGTTTGGGATGGTTTAATCAGTGCGCAAACTATACCATGGCTTTCAGGGGAGTTCACTGTAGTACCGTGATGCATAGTATTACAAAATAGAGAAAGGAACGTTTATTTTATGTATATTTTCTGATCTGAAGTGAATGATATTGTGGTGGCAAGAACAGCAGTATCTATTTCTTTTAAATTAATTAGTGATGAATCACCCTAATGCACAAATCATACATCAAGTTTATGCATAATCCATAATGATGAAGATATAGAAAAATGGAAATGCATGGCAAAAATAGCATATCGTCAATATTTTAGAGACCCCCCAATATTTCACAAACCATGTTTTCAGGGGAGCTCATGTCTTACTAAGAAGAACCAAGTTCCCCCGTGGCTCTCCTGTAGTTCACACCCTGGGTTTGGATTTTGTTTTGTGAGTTCAGTAAATTAAGCCCAAAAAACCTTTGTTAGTGTCATGAATGGTATTGGCAATTTGTTATTTTATCAGCCATATCTCAGGCTGTAATCATTCATATAACTAAATCATATCAGGGAAAATGTATAAATGTCTTTTCTGAGAGTATCTTGTAGAATGACGCAGAGCCTGAGGCTGTGCATTCATCAGGCTCACAGCTGTGTAGCTGGTGTGTTTTGTTACAGCTTATGGGTTTGATCACAAATTTTGCAGCTGTTTGGGCCTTACTAATGGTATATGACAATGTCTCATTGTAATTTCAACACCATCTGTGCATTTTCTTTTAGCAATTTCACTATTCCTTTCTATGCTTCTCTCTTGCAGCGTCTGCGGATGATGATCAAGCCTGTGGTACTAGTGAAGTCTCAGGAAAATGGCCCAGACCAGCAGACAGAAAACCAGAGTCAGAACCCTGCCAACGAGGAAGCCTACATCTAGAAACTTCTGCCTGTCTCTCTGTCTTGACGGCCAGACAGGAGATCTACACAGAAGAAATGTAATCAAGGTTGGGAACGACCACCAGACTTCCATGTCTGCTTTTATTCACCTACCTCCTGGGGACACGTGAGAACAACCTGATTACAGTTATTTTTAGGGGTTTTTCTGTTTGTTTATTTGTATAATACAGAGTTATAAAACATATGAGGAAAAACAAACTACCCAGCAAAATTGTTGTGATATTATGAATTTCATTATGCAAAAAAGTTAGTCTTTTTAGAACAGGAAATGTGACTTAGGAAATTACTGTATATTGAATATATAATTTAAATTTGGAGGCCCACGTTGATTCAATAGTATTGTGCTACTTTGAAGATATTAATCTATTAAACTACAATTACTGTACAAAGAAAAATATTGGTTAAATGCATTTTGCTTGTACATGAAATAAATACATTAAAATGAATGCAGTGTAGTAGGTGAAAAAAAAGCAATTTGAAAGTTTGTAAAGTGAAAATTGAATATTGACCAATTTAAGGCAAAGACAATATGGGAATGTGCAACAGGTAAGGCCAAATCTGCTTGTATGTGTAAAATATAATTTAGCCAGACTATCACTCCCGTGCAAGACCCTGCAGTTCACCTGAAATGTTTACCCACCCATGCCTGGGGCTACCTTTGAAAAGCACAAGGATAGTATGGAATTTTGAAGCGTCCAACATCTTTTTGGCTCGATTGAAACTTGTGACAACAGCAAAAACAACTTACATAGGATATATAGCAAGAGACTGTTATAATTGTTTCTTTGTTTTCTAAAGAACAATAACTTTGTATGTTGTCTGAATCTTTTTTGTAGAATCATTTTTAGGTCATTTTCTATATGTGAGAGTGAGAAGGACCAAAATCATACTCAAGTTTGAAAGATTGGTGCAGACATTTGACTTGCTGACTATATATGGTTTAAATCAAACATCCCTTTTTGTCTCTTTGAAGAGCAACAGGGTACAGTAGGTAAAGTAAAGACAGCATCCGCCTACAAGCACAATTTGGATCTGTAAACTACCACCTCTAACAATAGGTGTAGCCAATACAGAAATCTCACGTTTGCACTGTGCATACTATTTCTGCCTGAAATTATTTGGAAAATGTAGGTTTTCCTTTTCCTGATAACCAGTTAAGTGGTAAGACATTGTGTTGCAGTAAGCCAATGCTAATTCTGATCGATATATTAAACTGTGAGAATGAATAATCTACAGTGGCTGCTGCATTGGAGACTGTACGATGGATTTATTTGATAGCCACCACTATTCTGACTGGAACCGTTTACTTGTATATCTATTTAGTAACCCACTTCTCAGGAACAAAGGTGGACGTGACCAAATTCTCTCAGATACTACCATTATACACTGAAACAATGAATGCTGTATTTAAAAAAAAAAAAAAAAGACACACCTATTATGAAATATCTGACTGTTTCTCCCATTAATCCAACATACCTTAAGAAGCAGCAAAACATGAATACACAAATTAGTAAGAAAACCTAAAAAAATACACACACGCATAATTGGGCACACTCGAAAGCTGATCCAAATTGTTGCCTCTATTCTGTGTGCTATTCAGCTAGCATAATTTCTTTCAGTGTAAATGAACTGTGACGGCCTTCACTCAGTCATTTTAGTAGAAGCCTTGATGAGTTTCTATCCTGTGGCGAGTGCAGATTTTTAATATCAGACCAGGAGAGAGAAAGAGAGAAACTTTGGCTCAATCAGAGGACAAAGTCGGCAAAAGCACTGTTAACACAACAGGACACAGCCAGATGCTATAGGCCAACACCACTGAAACTACTCCTTTTCATAGGATTAAGAAAAACCTATTATTACATATCAAGTTTGCTCGGCAATATAAAATATATATATATAGAAGCTGACTTTGTGACAGACCACAGATATCACTGTATTACTATAAAGGAGGATCAAGAAAATTTGCTTCTGTGGCAGCTACATGCGACAGGAATCAGGTTGAATCAGTCCCGTTTCTTTTCTTTTATTTATGTTTTTTTTTCTCTCAAAGATATGTGATATAAAATGTGCAATGACAAAGGGTTCCGTAAATTTTGTATAAAGTTACCATACTGCAGTTTTCTCTCTTGAATGATGTTGTAAACTGGACTGTGTAATACATGTATCTGTGAATGTCCGTACAACCTGAGTTTTTCTTTTCTTTTGTCTAAATGTTGAACAATAAGTGTGATATTATTTGCTGTTTTCTGCAATAATATTATTATCTCAGAAACTAAAGCACATATCTCTCTCATCTGTAAAAAGTATAATTACAATAACAGAATAGAGTAATAATAAAGATGATGATAATAATAATGTAATAGAAATGTCTAGTCAGAGAATATTGTTTTGTATATTTCTAGCTGTTTCATGGGCCTAATGTAAAATATTCAATGTAAAAATATAATAAATGTCTTTAGATGGTGTTATATGAAAAAGCATGATTGCAATATATGTTATCTGCAAAAATAAATAAAGACCTATAGATTATAATGTCTGTGTCAGCTAATCTTACTGTTGGAGGAGAAGGCAATATTTGTGTACATTCAGTTTTAAATGCATACAAAGACTTACAAGCCTGTGGTGAATTGTGGAGAGTACAAATACCATTTTTATTTGTTAAATGGATGTGACTCTTTGAAAAGCTACCAGCACTGACTTAAAAGGTATGGGAATGCTCTTCAAATATGCTTTGTACATTGCTGAGTGAGATGGTTTTGCATGACACTGACCCGCTCAGTGTTAGTGCTTAGTGCACATAAGTGCAAATGAATATGCAATCAGCTCCATCATAGCAAGAGATGTTCTCTGTAAACTTAGATGATAGTTTCTGACAAAATGGTTCATGCCACAGCAATATCCTTGTGACACCTGCACTGAGAGCTGTGCCAGCACACACACTATAGCTGTCCTGGCTGACAGCCAATCCCTCCCAGTCATAATGCACCATCCATCCCTGCTGTTATGCAGTAGTTAGCCTACATTTGTTATAATCCAAATGGCCACCAAATTGTCACAAAATGCACAGTGACAGAGTATAGATTGTGTAGGCATCTTTATTTCAAAGAATCTATGTAAAGGGAACAATAGCACACATACACGTGAGATAAATGAATTAATTAAATAACATGTCTTTAAATAACATGTATTACATACTTGTCCAGTCATCAGAGGGAAGCACAGTAATCTCAAAATGTGCTGAGCTTTGTTAAAACATAAATCTCTTTTGGCTACTTAACATTTGTTAATACTTGAGACACTAATGGATCATTTTAATTGTTGTCTTTGTCTTATCAATACATACCAAGGTCACATCTCCTCCAGTAGCTTTGAATATAATATGTGTTTTCCAGCACATTGGATTGATGCAATAGTAGCCTTTGGTGTTTATCTTTAAAGCTTTACTTGTCTCACTGTTTGTATGGCTCCGCCTTTTGAATGTCAAGTGGTGCGTCTTTAAGCTTGTTGCCTTATTTTAGCTACAATTGCAGTCACACAACTCTTAAGAAGCAGATGTGAGTGTTAGTTGTGAAATTATACATACAGAGAAGGTATATGGTGTCAACGCTGTGACCTTATCACTCCCTGAAAGCATTCACCAAGTTCAACACAACATCCACTGAATCCACTGATATAGTTAGCCACTGAGTTTTCAGGTGAGCAGTGCAATGGCAGCTAATAATGTTCTAATGCAGGGTAACCAGGATAAATATTGCCACAAGTATTGTCATGTGTGTCATGTGAGAGTAACAGCAGACTCCAGTTATTTTTTTCTGAACTACCTCACAGCCTTTGTGCCATTTCAGTAATTTCACTAATTATTTTGTGAATGCAGAATATGTATAGAGTTTTGGCTCTGACATCATTCCTCACAGGCATATACAAGCTCAGCACAGCAGAGAGCAGGGAGTGACAAATAATAACATCCTTCCAAAAAACTGCATCAGACCACAACCAGATATTTTGTGGAATGGCAAGGCCACTGCAGTCATTTCCCTGAATAACACCTCAGTCCACATATGTAGTGAATGCTGGTGCTGATGCCTGGCTCAGCTGTATGGGCGAGCTGGGCACCAGCCACCATATGGCTGTTCTCCTGCTGGGAATCTCAGAAAATGATGGGGAAGACAGTACAGTAAGAGCTTGTGAACTGAGATGAAAGTACAAACAGTAAATAATACCGTATACAATAAAGTTTATTGGGGTTCCACCTTTAAGGTGGGATCAGTCATTCTTAAGCTAGATAGCTGATTGTTGAGTCTCATTGCAGGCTATCACATACCAACACTTTGGGTTATGGTGAATGGGAAACAAGTGGGTAGGAGGGAGCCACTAGGCTTGGGAAGACATCGTGGCAACAGGTATGTGTTTGTTGTTCAAGATTATTTCTCTAAGTATGTTAACCTCTTTGCCATGCCAGACCAGATTTTTTTAATCTGTGGGCATGGAATTCCAGAAATGCTGCACACAGATCAAGGACATCAGTTTGAGTATGACTTAGTGAAACACCTGTGTCAACTGCTGGGTATCCAGAAAACACGAACTAGGCCATCTTATCCACAATGTAACGGCATAATTGAGAAATTCAACAGAACACTTATTGATCAGTTAGCCAAGTCACTACTTCAGCAGCTGGGTGAATGGGAGTACAACACATCATCTTCATCTACTCCAGGTTCTCAGCTTGATGGAACAGAGACTGTGCCCACAATCAGCAGAAATGACACTATATTAACTGTGTCAAGCACACTCCCTAACTGTCTGGATACCTTTCATCTGTGAAAAGGGACAGGATTGGATGTGTAGGATTTAGTGGCATCTAGCAGTGAAGTTGCAGATTGCAACTTCCCAAACAATGCTCGCGTCTGTATTTGATGACCTAGGAATGAGAATGGGCTGTGACGTGTGTAGGAGAAACTATGCGAATTTCATGAAGATATTCAAGTGATTATACACTAATGAAAACATACCTATGGATATGACATTCCATTTCTGCCAATAGATCTTCCTAAATTTTACACACTGGAACTTAATGAAAGCGAGTTTTTCTCTAAAAATAAACTGAGCAGAAGACACATTTTTGATGCCAAAAAGTGTTTCTTTTCTCTTTTTTTTCTTCTCTGTATGTTTGTTCGTGTGTGTGTGTGTGAGAGCACCAGAGAGAAATTTATAAACAAAGAGGGCTTGATTTTATACCTGGTCAGACACATCCTCAGCCTTACCATAATGGTGATGTGTGTTTTTGAGCATGTGTGAGTCTGTGTGTGTGCATGTATGCATGCATTTGATTCAGCATGTCCTTGTGAGTATGCAAACGTATATATAGTCTGTGTCTGCTCATCTGAGCATGCCGCGGTAGTGTTAGTTGTAGTGATGACACAGACATGAGCGGAGCAGCTCTGACAGCTCCAGTCTAGCAGAGGTAGTAGCCACTCTGAAGTCAGCTCCGGGGCCCCAACAACACACACACTGTGGAAATGGTAATCTGTTTTCCCTCCCTGCCAGCTTGGCCAAGGCTGCCAGTTGCATGCACACTCTCCAACTGCATCACAATCATTGGGCGCTGACATGCGCAACACGATGGGGCAAAAAAAGAGTGAGTATGTTTCTCTCTTCTTATAGCTGCAAGGCTGTGTTATTCCACAATTGTTTCATGTGAAAGATGCAGTGAGGTTATGCAATTCTCTTTGTAATAGGAGACATCAAATATTATTGGATTGGTATATTAATGGGAGTTCTTGGGGGGAAACTCAGCCAGTCAAAAACACTTATATTAAATAATATATAATAATAATAATAATAATAATAATAATAATAATAATAATAATAATAATAATAGGTCCATTTTTAGAGTTGATGTTAAAATATGACTGATTATGTTTAAAGCACTTACGATTATGGATCGAACATCAACACTGGTGAGAACTGTTATTTTAACCCAAGTTTTAATGTTTCTACATAATCTAAGAAGATTACCAAAACCATCTTACCAAAAAAGCCCCCCAACATAACCAAAACTTAACCAAGTCATGTAATAAAACTATTTTATTTGTCATCTCATTGTAGAAGGCAAGGACAATCGACATAATGCATTTTGTTATTTAATTTTGGGAAAATTGGTGGAATGTCTGCAGCTATAACACAGTGTACACTCCAAGGCCTTTTCTTCACCTAGGATCCGTTTTTCTCCAGCTGACCAAATGAATCAGAATATTAGTGAGCCTTCATGGCTCTCCCTCTGTTCACCTTTACAGCAGGCTACTGATAGCATATCTGCTCCCAGCAGACTGACAGACAGACAGGCAGAGAGAAGCAAATGCCCTTATCACTGCCTGCCATATGATGGGATTAGCTTGAGTGTTGTCTAACAAAGCATTAATAAGCAGTTTTAATTGCCTGCACGCTATATTCTGCCAAGCCCTGCCTGAACTACACATACACACACACGCACACACACTACTATACAAGGTTGTGACACATATTTGTCCCATCTGACATTGTGTCCAAGTGATACAGAATTTGTATTCATCAATGGTGTACAAACAGACAATTATTACTGTCATTCCAGTACATTGGTGTACAATGTAACAGAAAATAGGTTTGAAGACGACTTTAACCTCCATTCTCTCCCTCACACAATACAGACTTAATTGAAATCAATAGATGTTTTTGATTATCCTGTGGTTCCATATTACAGTGCAGCCTCACCACAGCCACAGGACTTGAGCACTGCTGTGACCTGAAAACCTTTCTGATTACAGCAAGGCAGAGGGCAATTTCTTCCATTTGAGTCAACTACAGTTCTACAAAAATACTATTCAAAAATACAATTCTAAATAATATCTGTGCCTTGCCTGATGTGTGACTGGAATCTTTATCAGTTTGTGATGAGAGGGCCGATTGCCTACACTGGATCAGTAAACATCTCATAAACACAAGTGAGAACTTGGTCTAGCTCTGCCCTATTGAACTTATGAAGGCAATTTATTTAATTTACAAAGCCACCGTTAGCCAGATGTTAGTTGGTGCTAACATGCTCACAATGACAATGCTAACACGTTGATGTTAAGCAGTTATAATGTTTATACCATGTTCACCATCTTAGTTTAGCATGTTAGCATGGATGAAATAAAAGTTATCTTTTTCCATGATCTCTACATGCAGAGCACTGAAATCTGCATCTACTGTAGTTAAACAAGACTAACCTAGCCATTCTCTGCAGTTTAGGCAGACAACTATTTTGATTCAAACAGTTCAGAAGACAGTCTGAGGATGTGAAACCAGACACCATGATACCAACATCCCAGAATGATCAGCAGCCGTTACACACCACCAATCATGCTAATAATTAGGCAGATGGTGGCAAACTATGCTGCTGGTCTTACTGCACAGCACAGGAAGACACAGCATGTCTTTGTAACAGCACAGACTGCACACTGACCCAGGAAAAGGCCAAAAGTATCCCACACTCCCCAATCAAGGTTTTAGCATAG